TTTTACAAGAGTTATGGGCAAATATATTTCAAAAAAATCACGTCTATCACGTATTTTTTGTGCTTGATAACTCACCAATTACATGCCAAAAATTCATATAGCATCCCATGAAACTCATAACTTCTCCTCTAGATATAGGCTTTAAAAGTTCCAAATTATACTAAAACAAAGTTCTGAAATTCCAAAATGCATACAACTAACACAAGAAAGACATACACCCAAAAACAAGACAAGAAAGACACGAACACACACACACAAAAAAAAAAAAAAGGAAACAAAGAGCTCAAGAGTGAGAAGAACTAGAATTCTGAAGCAAATATTTAGAGCACCTAATCACCGACAGTGATTCTCTATCCATAATCTGTGCCACAACCTCCTTGGAGTTCTTCAGCAACCTAATACTCTTGTTGAGTGTGCCTCTCGCGCTTCAATGCAACAGGAGGTGATTCTTCTAGCATCCTTTCAATCCCACCACCGTGAGAACCCATGAGCTCATTCACAATCTCAATTTCCATGTTCCGATTCACCAACTCATTAATACTTAACAAGTGTAACGCCAAGCTATCAACAAGCCTTTTCAAAATTATCTTCCAATAAGCAGTGATTCTCATTTTCATGTCAAAAGCTTGTTCCGTAGTACTGGAATGAAAATGTAGATGACCAACCTCAATCTCCCCAAAACCTTCAATTGTCACCTGCGATGGCTTGAAATTATCATTCATTACCTCCGTGAAAGCATTTTGATGAGCCATAAACTTAGCCCATTCTGTCATGTACTCCGGACTGCACGTATAATCTGTTAGCTTCTCCATCTCAATGATCTCCATCATTCGATCAAAAGATTTCTCCTTCATTTTTGCTATAAGATCATGTGCTGCTCTTCGTGTAGACGAAAGAAGTTGTGGGTAACTATCACAATGATACAACAAAACACTAATCACCACAGATTCAATGTAATTCCATACTTTTGCCATGAAATCAACTGGAGTATTCGCTATCTCCTTAACTTTTCTCTGCAAAATTATCAGAAAAGAAGTACGGGGAAGGAAATTGGGCAGCCCAATTCCTTTTCTTTCATCCAAAACCCAAATCTCATCCATCAAAAAGTTCTCAGTGGGCTTGTTCACCGCACTCTTTTGAAGTTCTTCAGAGTACTCATTTAACATTTCAGCCAATCTAGCAGTGCAATGCATGTTTTTCTCATCCGGGTACTCATCAAACTCACCCCTTAAAAAAATTTTCCTCAGAGACTCCTTTGACAATCCAATAATTCGCATGAACACTGTCATTGCTCCAGCAACTGAAGACAAATTCTGAGGCATTTTGTTCAATTCAGAAATATTTAAATTCAGCTTGTCATTGATCTTCCTCACAATATCAGGCAAACAATTTGATAAAATGGTGGCTTGAATTTGCACAAGTTTCCGGGCAAGAACAGGTACACCCACCATAGACTTTTCAATCTTGGAAAGAAGTGGATGAGATTGAAAAAGCCTGGCTTCTTCAACCCGAGCATCTTCATATGACTCGTCACCAATTCGATTCCTCACGCAGACATAACCAAGTCCTATGTTCACATCATCTGCAGTAACTTTCTCAAGCAATCCTTCAGGAGCTCTATCAACCTTTGTCACAACAGCTAGAGTCCTCTCACCAGTCTTGTCAACACGCTGCGACATCCTTATCGATTCACATGTTGGGAAATCAACTGTTGCAGATAAAACATTCAGAATAATACTCTCATCTGGTTTAATATACTCCATTATGATCCCTGAAATCTGCTCATAGATATCTTCAGGTTGGCCATGAACAGGCACTCTAGTGATTCCAGGAAGGTCACCATTGTAAGATCAGGAACCCCTTTCTTTTTCACAACTAGAGTCAATGGGGTGTGGGTAATCCCCTTCCCATTACCTGCAACCAAGAACCAACACAGGATTTCAATATAGAGTAGCCAACATAAACAATAATAAAAATTCAAAAAAAAAATAAGAGTAATAAATTTTAACAGCTATCTTGAAAAAAATTACATAATATATATGAAAAAGCATATAAATAAGTTTGTCTATCAAATAAAAAAATATATTTATCTGAGTGTTGAATCTCAAATTATATTTGAGACTCTTTCCTGTGATTAAAAACATATGTGACGGAACATACATTTGTTTGTATAATATATTTCTTAATAGATGTAACCTTCATGAGTGCTCAAAACCTCCTCTTTGTAAGATAGGCCTTGATATTAACATTAATTCTGAAAAAATAATTTTTTTCTTATATTTTGTTGAATTGTTTTAATTTTATACTATTTAAGATCCACTCTCATAAACATAGAAAGGTAGCCATTTAAAATTTTAAAAATCTAGATGAGCCTAGACAACCACACAAGTTATGTTTGGATTATAAATTTATACAAAATTTCAAAAAGAAAAAAGACATATAAATTAATTTTTTTTCTCTATAATTCAAACATAATGTTAAAATTTATATATATAAAAAAAAAAAACTTAATTTAAAAAAATTAAAATAAAAACTCATAATTTCAAAATTATAAATACATCCATAATAAAGTGAAAAACAATTAAATCCTATATAATTGAATGTACAACAACTTAAAAATAAAAATAATATATATATATATTATTTGGTGATCAGAAGACAAATTTATGTAATGTCCCAACTTAACAATCATTGATCGAAACAATTTTATTGACTTTTTGACGGTTGACAAGTGTAAGTAATATATATAGTAAGAAATAATAACCAAATAAAGAAACAAAAAAAAAACAATAACCAAACAATCACATTAAAATAATATTATAACCAAACCAAACCAAGCCAAGCCTTAAGTCCCATCAAATGGAGTCGGTTACATGAATCCTTATTCTCCACGCAGTCCTATCAAAGGCCATTTCATTAGTCAAATTAAGTAGATTCATATCTTTATTTATAACGCTAGTCAATGTTAATCTAGGCCTACCCCGTCCCCTAGCACTTCCATCTACCGTTACAGCATCGCATCTCTTCACTACTGTCTCTGTTGGTCTCCGTTGAATATGACCAAACCATCTCAAACGATTCTCTCTCAACTTATCTTCTATCGGTGCTACTCCTACCCATTCCCGAATACACTCATTCCTAATCCTGTCCTGTCTAGTCTTACCACACATCCACCTTAGCATAAATTAAAATAAAAACTCATAATTTCAAAATTATAAATACATCCATAATAAAGTGAAAAACAATTAAATCCTATATAATTGAATGTACAACAACTTAAAAATAAAAATTATATATATATATATTATTTGGTGATCAGAAGACAAATTTATGTAATGTCCCAACTTAACAATCATTGATCGAAACAATTTTATTGACTTTTTGAGGGTTGACAAGTGTAAGTAATATATATAGTAAGAAACAATAACCAAATAAAGAAACAAAAAAGAAACAATAACCAAATAATCACATTAAAATAATATTATACAAATAAAAAATTCATATATGATAATATCAGTCATTATGTATTTTTTCACTTAAAAACAAACATAATTAAAAATAAGTATATTTATAATAATAACATTAGCACATCATTCTTATAAATTTTGTATTAAATAAAAAATTTCATCACATTATAAGTCAAATAAAAATATATACATTTAAAAAATAAGTCGATCACAGTTCTACTAAAAATACAATATGATTACTGGTAAAAAAAGACATTAAACACACAATTTTTTCCTACAAACCAATGTTTTGAAAATTGCACCGGACCGACCGGTTTAACTGTCGACCGGTTTATAATACAATCCAGATATACCCTCTAACTCGTTCCTTCTTGAAAATCGATCATTTTATGCTAAACTGGTACACCAACCCGATTTGTTATGTTTAGTCCAATATTGAAAAAGTTGATACTAAAGGACTTGAACCCAATACCTCAAGCTCTAAAGAGCATAAATTTTTACTCTGCCACATTGTTCCTTGTTAACATATAAAAAATATATAATTGTCTTCAAACTAATTTCTCTCAAACACATGTATAACTAATATGTTTACCAACAATATTAATATAAAAATATCTATAGACATATATGTTTGATGAATATATATATTAAATTATAAAATATTTTAAATAAATGTATTTTATTTATTTTTAAATTATAAAAATATTCATTAAGTAATTATGACTTCATGATTTGATTTCGGTTCAATCTGACAATTGAGTTGAGCCAACAAGCCGTTCACCCAATCTCTTTTCCGATACACTCACCAATCTGATTTTTAAAACATTGCTTCAAACAATCAACAGCTAATACTATAGAGTAAATAGAAAGGTCTTAAATCCATCCATACCTGCAATCTTATCAGTGGCGACTTTAATGGCTTCGGCGGCACAGGTTTCATCAGTGGGTACTGTTTTGCCAAGAAACTCTAAATAAAGATCAGGTTGAGCATTTGGGTGGTGTTGGAGCCTCATTATGAGTGGGACTCTGGTACAAATGCCTTGGCTGTATGGGAGGCTGATTCTGGAGAGGGATTCAAGAACGCTGGACTTGCCAGCAGATTGGTCGCCGACGACGACGATGGTGGGGAGTTGAATGCCCTCTTCAGCCACCTTCTCGTCGAGGAGTGGTCGAATGCGGTCGTTGTAGGAGGTCGTAAGTGGCGGACCATCTGGAGTTGGAGTAATTGGGTAGTCAGCTGAAACTGAAGAAAGAGGTAAGTGAAAATGATGATAAGCATGGGACAAATTCTAAGGAGGTTTCTTCGATGTCTATGATATTGGGACTCTGTTGAGAATGGCACGCCATTGTGTGTGAGAGAGAGAGAGAGGGATGGTGGGAACTCGTAGAAGGGGAGTGCACAAGAGAGGTGTTTTAAGGGTGGGGTCACTACTAGAAATATGACTTTTTGCGTCTATTTTTTTGCGATTGATTATTTGACCGTCGCAAAAAATCATTTTTGGCCTCAAAATCTCATTTTACAATCTCATTTTGGTGACCCAAATCAGTAAAACTTGACTCTCTCTCAAAATCTGAACTCTCTTTCTTATTTCCCAAATTTGAACTCTCTTTCTCTCCCTCTCAAAATCTCGTTTCCCCCCCTTTTTTTTTCTTATTTCCCAAATCTGAACTCTCTTTCTCTCCCTCTCAAAATCTTTCTCTCACTCGATTCTCGCTCGAATCTCACTGCCTCTCTCGCTCGAATTTGTCACTTGAATCTCTCGCTCGAATCTCACTGCCTCTCTTGCTCAAATCTGTCGATCGATTCAACTCTTTCAAGTCCACAACTGTTGAAGATTTCGTAATCGGTAAGCCTAAACACATCTTCATTGATTCCACTCTCTCTGTAATGATCCGAATTATGTACTTCTCTGTAATGGAATCTGTCTCAAGAAGAATCTGTAACAACACTTTACACGAAGCTATGGCGCGCTTGTGCTGGTCCGCTCGTGACAGTGCCTCGTGAAGGCGAACGCGTGTTCTATTTTCCTCAAGGACATATTCAGCAGGTTAGTTTCCAACTCTAGGCAATCAGATTCGGAGTTCTTTGTTTCTCTCAGAGGTTAGATTCATTAGGATTTCTCATAATGCTCTATAATTTTATCAATTTTGTCTCTCTTGGTTGTACATCTCCAATTGTTCATCAATTTGTTCATCAGATTCAAATTTGATGAAAAAAATGACTCCAAAATGTTTGATTATTGATGAAGAATTATGTTCGATGGATATGTTTGATTATCTTCAGTTATCAAAATGATATTACTCCAATTTTTCCATCATACAATGATTTTAGGAATTTCTAAATTTTTATTTTATTATTTTGTGATCTAGAACTAGTTGATTATTTTGTGTTGTCCTGGGTCATCTTATAAGTCCATCATGGACATAATTCACAACTGAACTGGGATTTATTTCTCTACTGTAAAGTAAAGCAACTGTCAAATGTAGAAGATAGGAATCGCATTAATCTCATCCACCTTAAATGGAAAAATAAGAAAAAGTGTCCATACATTCAATAGAAGGGAAGTTACATCCCTGATGCTGATACTGGAAATGATTGATTACATACCAAAGGATTCAAATATCAGAAGAGGTAAAGTAGAAACAGCTATGGTTCTAGTTAAACATTAATTTAGCTCATTTAGTCAAGTCTTCTATTGCAAGCTTATGTGCATACAGCTTCCACAAGTCTGCTACAGACAAATTTATCTGACCACAGCATGCACAAGTATGTGTGTATTGATTTTTTAGTAGATATGTGAATAATATGTTTTGTATGTCACTAATGTGAAGGATGCCAACGTTACATTGGTATGTATTCCTGTTCAATGCTTTAAACATATTTGGAAGTGCTTTTCACTATTTAGATGTCTCTTGCATAACAATTAACAGCATTAATGCTTAGTATGTGATTCTAAATTAGACTCTTCATTTTTTCCTTTAATAGGAAATAGAATTTTACACAAAAAAGATCAAACGGGGCAGAACCTATAGGCATTCAGTAAATACACATGGTGTCTATTTCGTTGTAATTAGAAGTGCTTATTAATTATCATTGTGAGCTGGGAATATTTATTGGAGCTTTAGGTTTTAGATTCTGATACTTTTAGGCCCCATATTGGTGTTGGGGTGCATTGAGCTTGGATGACTTTTTGCAATAGCCCTTGTAGTGCTTTATTGTGTTTGGCTTCATTCTTAAGAGTACTTTGATTTTTGGAGTAAATATATGCTTGGTTGTGTCTTTCTGTGTGGCTTCAACTCTTTGTTTATGACTTTTACATATTCCTAGTTTGGGAATCGAATCTTACTCTTCCAAGAAAACACACATACAAAAAAAGAAAAAGAAAAAAAAAAAAAAGCTCCAAAACAAATGTCAATCCAATTTATAATTCTTCTACAGCCTCTAAATAATTATAATATACAGGATCACATAATTGTCATTGTCAATTAGCAACTTAACGTGTCGTTTAAAGCCACCTACCAATGCTTCCAATGAAAAATTGTAAACAAAACAAAGTTTCTTTTTATTACACAAGTATTAATCACATGACAACGTTCATGTTCTGTACGAATAGCCCATCAAGGTAAAGATCATCTGACGATGGATTAAAGATAACTACTTTTATAAACTTGTATTCTTTATAAAACTAAATGAGAAGATGGATTAAAGATAGAAGGAAAATATTTTATTAGGATCTTTAACTAGAATCTTTATTTAGCATATATAAAGGATTTCAAGTAACTACTTTTATGTTGTTATTTCAAATCGATCATGAAAAGCTATCAAATTCAATCTTGAAATCCATATCTAAATTTGAGCAATTCTTCTTGAATGAATAGTGTCAAATTATTTCCTTTCAAATTCATAAATCCAAATACAACCTTAAATAATAACAATCTGAATTCCTTCTAGTTTCCCTGTTATGCTTGCTTGTCTGTAGGTAAGTTTTTTTATTGGAAAGATGCAGGTAAAGATGCTAATACAGAGGTCGGCTGGGCTTTATTTGGGTTATTATTCTCGGTTTTGCTGTTACTAGAGTTGGTGGATATGCAGTTTACAAGTACAGAATCCAGGTATGCCTTTATTGCTTTGTTATATCCAACACTGTGATGTCATTCATGGCAGGCTTGAAGTTGGATTTCTTTATCTATCGAAAAGAATAAAAGTGATTTGAGCCAACAACTAACAGGGGCAAAACACATATGAGAACTAGTAGAGAATGTTTCATGAGGGAGGGATGAGAAAAAAGGGAGGCCTTAGGATAAGAAAAATATAATAGTGATGTCCGTCGATTATCTAAATGAACTCGGTAATTGATGGAGCCCGAGTAGGTTTAACACTCAAGTGGGGGGGGGAAGAGAAGTTTGAGAAAAAGACAAATAGAAGATACAAAGGAATTTTTAGTTGGGTTTTTATTCTCCCGTTTGCCTGTACTGATTGCTGCAATATCTTGCCATTTGAAAACATTGACTTGGTGAATACCAGTTGAATTCATACTTTGTTTATTATGTTTATTATGCTACTCTGCACATTGCTGCAATATTATTTTTAGTTGGGTTATTATTCTCCCGTTTGCTTGTACTGATTGCTGCAATATTACCTAATTTAATAAGTATATTGAAGTAGGCTTTTATGGAGCAATATAATAGCAGGCTTGTTAAGAATAGACTTTTAGGCATGATGGAAAACATGTATTGTACATGTATATAATAGAATCCTTGATTGTATATCTCAATAAGGCCTTATGAGGTAATTGTTGAATTGATTTCTGGTTAGCCACCAAATTAAGCAATGCTAGTTTTCTTGTTATCTTCTGTTAGATTGGCTAATCAAACTAGTGTGATTAGTCAATTGGGATCAGTAACTGTTGGTCAGTATATATCATGTCTATTGCTGGGATGCCATGTGTAATTTGTGCATGCTCTTGATTGGCGAGTATGCAGAGCATCATCCAAAATAGTAACAGATTTAAAAATTGTGAGGGTGGCTTCACACAGAGGCCAAAATTGATCAATGTATGGTTAGAGCATAAATTGATTGTTCTAACCAAAAATTCTTTTCAGGAGCATTAATTAATCATTTTTAGTTTATGAAACCTTGTCTAGCTTCTTCCAATTCTATTTCCTTAATATTTACCCTGGTTTTATGTTGCTTAGGCTTTATTGCAATCGGAGAAACAACGAGCCGATGATTCTGAAAGAAAATGTGCAGAAGCCCTCGAATCAAACGAAGAAATGCGTAAGAAGTTGGAAGAAACTGAAAGAAGAGTTCATCAACTTCAGGAACCTTTGAACAGGTAGCATTAGTGCATAAACTCTTTAGGTTGATATATATTCACAGTTTTGAAGCTTTGAAATTGGATATACAATTCATCAAAGTGCACATGAGCAAGATATATCAAAATGTTAGGTCAAATTAGGTACTTTGTTGGTTACCATCAAGGATTCTGCCTTTATGTGGTTAAAATGACATTATTTTCTTCTTTGATCTGATATCTATGAGATCCAAATGCTTCAAAATTTCTTTTGAGGTCTGTTTGAGCGACTGTATCCCTTCCATTCTTCTTCAGACTTTACAAAAGGGAAGGTATATTTTTTTTTTCTCTACGTGCGAAGTATTGTTGGTTGTTGAGATTTCAAGTTTTATGGTTGTAAGTTGCTTGGTATATGTAATTGTAATCATAGTGGCAATATTGAATAGACTTAGTTTCCTGTGGCTGGAGTTCACATTTTGATTCATTGGTAATGGAAATACCCTAGCATTTTTTCTGTTCTTGTACTGATGTAAGATCAACCACCTGATTTATATATACCTGAAAGGTCAATGCAAAACTTGCTAACATTATGTAAGAAAATAGCAATTACAAGTTCTACAAACACCAGAGGACAGTTCAGCTTTCCGCAGTTCTCATGCTGGGGGGAGTTCTTAGAGTGGATTTGAGGTGGGAGCAATCCAAGAAGCTTCCTTATGAATCTCCCATTTGTAGATGAGATTATTGCAATTTATGGATTTAGATGGGCCAACTGACACATTGAAGGTGTATCTTTTTGTGTTTTCAGATGGTGTTTTTGTAACGTGTAAATGTTAGAAAGAGTGAGTTGATTCCAAGAGTGGAACCGACAAATTTGGAAAGTCCTTTTTTGCTCTCTATTTGGAGAGGGATGAGGGAGGAAATTAGAATTATTTGATAGATCGGGAAGTGTTGTGTCGTACGTATCACATACATGAACACTTGACCAACACTAACACGCTAACACGTCAATTTTCAAAAGTGCAGGACACTACATCTGGGACATTTTAAAAATTTATATTTTTATAAATATATTATGTGTAAATATGTGAATAGTTTATTTTCATAAATATGCTATGGCTTCCGACCACCTTAGCTATGATACCTTGTGACATAATACAATGTAAAGAGAGAAAGATGCCATATTATTGTATATTATCCTCAACACCTACAATACGAAAATAATTAACAAATTAATGCTAATTAAATAGAGAGGAACCCTAATGACTAAAAATAACAAAAGTACAAAAATATTTCTAAACAAAATATGACATATGAAAACATCCAAGAGAATCTTTTTCACAAGTTCTGCTAAGTATTTTTTGGAAATCTGATAACTGCAAGGTCTGAGGTTCTACTTTTGGCAACAAGATGGTAAAATGGCAGATTTGTTTTTGTATTTTCTAACACTCGACAGATTAGTGCATTGAATTTCATCTATTAGTCAAATTAATTCATATAAAGTGGACTTTGGTGGGATTGTTGCAAGGAAATTCTAGCAATGAAGTTGTGCTTCTACATAGATAGGTTTCAAATTAACAATCATGCACTGCTGCATAAATTAGTAACTTGGTGGCATGTCTAAAAATATGTCTGTCTGTATGTCTTGTGGGGTTATGGGAACATAACCTTTTTAAAGCAAATTTAGTGTCCTTGGGATAGCAATAGTGCAATTTCAGTGAAACCTTTTCTTTGATCTCTTTATCTTTTGCTTGTGGTCTTTTGTTTCCCCATACTTCTAAATTTTATCATTGCTTTTGTTGATGAAGAAATCAATAATTGCACATTTTCATAACGAAAAGTTCAAATTGTATATCTCCTCAAGTTCAAATTGTATATCTATTGCATATCTCCTCGAGTTCAAATTGTTTCTTAACGAAAAGTTCTTTCATCTTGCTTGCTTTCAATTGATCCAATCTCTTAACTTCAGCCTCCACCTTGAAACATTTTGAAACGACATCAAATCTTGCTTGTGATGCTGATGCTCTTGAGAATTATTGATTACATATGTACTAACTTGCTGGATTATATCAAGGAGAGGATATTTCAGCCGATGAAGCTGATCATAATAAATTAGTAATGTGACAGAACAATTGACGGTCTTCGAAAGGCGTATCCATAAGGTTCCACAAGTTTGTCAATGCTTTACCAAGATGGTGAAGCTGCAAAGTCCACACAAAATCCACGGAGAAGACAATTCATTATGTCGATGCTTCCTCTGAGCAACAGACAAGTCAGAGGATGGTGAGTAAAACAGCTTGAATAAGTTTTACCTTCTCTAGTCGCTTGTGTTTTTCTTCTTCAAGAGACTCTACTGTGCTGTTTAGTTTAACCAAAATACCGTCACTTATGTTCTTTGACAGTCCAGACAATTCATTCAAGCTTGGACTTCAGAAACAATTAAAATCATAATAAGATGCTAGGCTGCCTGAATTTTGTATCTTGCACTTCAGAAACATCTACTGGATAGGCTGCCTGAAAAAGGTATAGATGAAAAGATTAGCAGCTAATATGAATACTTTCTGATCCATACAACACACCTTAACTATATTTTTAAATCTACTATCAGCTATTCATTATGGGACTTGTGAGCTCTAGAAATGTTCAAATAAAAGCAGGGGATTTTGTTGGGTTCTCAAGATGTACCTTAATCTTCTTATCAGTTGATGGGTTCTATTTGTATACCATTTGCATTAAGATTTCATGACGGGAAGGCAATGGTGTAAATGTATCTTATTATATTATGCTTACATATACACTGCAGTAAACCCATTGATTATGCTAGATCTTGTGTAACATAGCAACTACATAAAAAAGAAAGGTTTGTTCCTGAAGAAATGTGAACTTTCACAGGAGTTCCTGAAGAAAGGTTTGTTCTATTATTTTGAAATCTTTATTACTATTATTATTATAAATTTTAAAAAAGAAAAGCTGTTTACTCCTTTTGTGAGGGTAATTTTGGGAGGCAATGAACTAAGGTGTTCTGTAATTGTTCTTTTTCTAATAACACTTTCTTTGTCTATGTGATTCGCAGCCTGGCACTTACCTTGATCAGAAGGAGAAGCTCATCAAGTATAGTGATTTTGTCAACAAAGAGCTTATATTGTTTTCTATGGCAGATCTTCAATGGTCAATTCCTTCATGTACTTTCAGTTGAGTTACTAAGGTGTTCTGAAATTTCATAGCGTGTTGCTACTAAGGCGTTGCTACTTCTGCAGATGAGACTTATCATAGCGTCAATAGTGAGTTGAGAGAGTTGCCTGCAGTTGAGCTGTCTACACTTCCTTTAATACTAAAGGTTGAAACTGATTCCTTGTTTTCAATTTTTGGTTATTATATTTTTAATGTTGATTTTTATGCTGTTGGATTGAGTGGTTAACATTAAACATATATGGTTAAAAGCCTGCTGATTATTAAAAAGTTTGTTTTTGTAGTTAACTGAAGTTTTTCAGATTCCTATTTGGGCAGCGTATTTGATAATTGTGGTATAACTGAGATCACTGAAGTGAATATAACACTATCAGAGGCTTGTGATTCATGTTTTAAACCCTTGAGGAACACATGAACATTATTTAAACATACATGAAATACATTACAACTTTGAATAAAATAACTGGAAATCTAATAATAATAATAAAATGATGTAATTTTATACATATTCTCCTTCTTTAGATTTTAGAAATTAGTGTTACATTATATTTTGTTATTGTCTTTGTATAACATATACTCACTTATATATAACGTCTAAATAAATATATAAAATTATATATTTTGCGCGTGTTCCCACATGTTGTATCCTATATATTTTTTAAAATTTTTATCTTGGCGTGTCTGTGTTGTGTATGTCATTGTTAGTTCTAAGATGTTATGTGAAAACAAGTAAATTGACTCTTGTTTTGGTTAAAATTAAATTAAAATGAATGCTGAAATGTTAATTGGAGGTAACATTAGGGAAAGACATTTATTGTGCACCAATAAAAAATCATGTTTTTATTCAATTTTGTGATTCACTTTTCCCCCCTGCTCATCTCTTTTTCCTCATTATGGCAAAATTGGTTGTCATTTTTATTTTTTGAATTTCTAGTGTGTGTATGCATATTAAATATTCATGTGTGTACATGTAATAGTTAACACAATTTCATCACCTTTGGTCTTGCAGACTGTGGTTGGGAGTGGTATCGCTGATCAGATTCGTCTAGCAGAACTCATATTAAATGATGTAAGACTTGTACATCTTTTTTGTGATTTTTGTATTGTTGATGTGATAGGTTATACATGAAAAGAAATTGAAAAATAAAATTGATGGCCTGATTTGTTATTGTAATTTTGTATGAGGTTTATTTTTGTAAGTTTAATATTTTGGGGTCTTGAAGAGGTCAAATACCTGGCGACAAAATCCTATGTTCCTTTTCTACTTGGCTTATAACTTCGATTACTCTTGTTAGATTTTTCTGAAGAGGAAATTTTATAGTGTGTTCAATGAACTAAGGTGTTCTGAAATTTTATAGTTGAGTTACTGCAATCAACTGGTCTGTTTGACATTTTTACATCATGTACTTTCAGTTGTCATTTTTGTTTTTTACTTTCATACTATTTCTGTCTACTGTGCATATGTAGTTTTGAGTGTTTCAATTATTATATGATGTACTTATTCAGTTTTCATTTTATTTTTCACATTCATACAGTTGTTATCTATGCATTTCTAGTTTTGAGGGCTGAATCTTGGCTAAATGAACTACTGCCCGAATAAATGTTTTTCCATCCTGTTATTGTTATTGCTGTTAGTTTTTTTCTCTGTCAAGGCACGAAAAGGACAAATCACAGCCCATTTATATGACAAGGAGTCTTGAATTTTGTTCACAACTAGTATATAATTTTTGATCATCATGCAGGTGGATTCTGTAGTTTACCTTGTTGACGCGTACGACAAAGAGAGATTTGCAAAGGCCCAAAAAGGAGCTGGATGCCCTCATCTTAGACGATTCACTTGCAAATGTCCCGTTTCTCATACTTGGGAACAAGATTGACACACCCTATGCTGCCTCAGAGGATGAGTTGAGATATTACTTGGGTTTGACTGGTGTTACTACCGGTAAGGGTAATGTTGACCTCGCTGACTCAAATGTCCGTACTATTGAGGTCTTCATGTGCAGTATCGTGCGCAAGATGGGATATGGCGATGGCTTTAAGTGGCTTTCCCAATACATTAAGTAGGAGAATCGGAGAATGGAAGAAGCAAGTGAATGTGCGAAGCCTTCTAAGGGTAACTTTCATGCCACTGCTGCATGAATGTATATATTGGGAATGTAAAGTTTAGTATGTAGCTTTTACCTTGTTATCTTGCAAACAGTCTTGCTATTTTTTTGGTGGGGAAGGTTAAGTTGATTCTGTTCTCTCTCTGTGTCTGTCTCTCTTCGTACTTGACACGATTGTAAAGAAATAAAGTTGTGCTGTAATGAGGTTTGTATGATTTATCGGCATTCTCAATTGATCCTTCTATACTATTATTTGCTTTTCTATTCATTTGTTTACTTTAGTAATGCATACAATTGTCTATTCTCATTTGTTTACTTTAGTAATGCATACAATTGTCTATTCTCATTTGTTTACTTTAGTAATGCATACAATTGTCTATTCTCATTTGTTTACTTTAGTAATGCATACAATTGTCTATTCTCATTTGTTTACTTTAGTAATGCATACAATTGTCTATTCTCATTTGTTTACTTTAGTAATGCATACAATTGTCTATTCTCATTTGTTTACTTTAGTAATGCATACAATTGTCTATTCTCATTTGTTTACTTTAGTAATGCATACAATTGTCTATTCTCATTTGTTTACTTTAGTAATGCATACAATTGTCTATTCTCATTTGTTTACTTTAGTAATGCATACAATTGTCTATTCTCATTTGTTTACTTTAGTAATGCATACAATTGTCTATTCTCATTTGTTTACTTTAGTAATGCATACAATTGTCTATTCTCATTTGTTTACTTTAGTAATGCATACAATTGTCTATTCTCATTTGTTTACTTTAGTAATGCATACAATTGTCTATTCTCATTTGTTTACTTTAGTAATGCATACAATTGTCTATTCTCATTTGTTTACTTTAGTAATGCATACAATTGTCTATTCTCATTTGTTTACTTTAGTAATGCATACAATTGTCTATTCTCATTTGTTTACTTTAGTAATGCATACAATTGTCTATTCTCATTTGTTTACTTTAGTAATGCATACAATTGTCTATTCTCATTTGTTTACTTTAGTAATGCATACAATTGTCTATTCTCATTTGTTTACTTTAGTAATGCATACAATTGTCTATTCTCATTTGTTTACTTTAGTAATGCATACAATTGTCTATTCTCATTTGTTTACTTTAGTAATGCATACAATTGTCTATTCTCATTTGTTTACTTTAGTAATGCATACATAATTCAATTGACCATAACAGTTATGTTTAATTCTTCTTAATTCATATCTATTGTTTTTCCTATTTCTCATATGTATTTTGATTCGATTTTTCATGTTACAGTTTCTTTTGATGCAATTATTCTTCATTACAATTTCTTCCGATTTCTCATATGCATTTTGATGTGATTTTTCATAGCTATTGGTTTTTTGAAGCGAATTTAAGCGAGTGATTTTGTTGCAGGTCATTGATCCATATTAGAAACATTGGGTTACGTTGCTTCTACCAGTGTGTCGTTGGTTGGCTCTCTCATGTTAAATTATTTATTTATTTATTTTTGGGTTAGCTAGGATGATTCTTTTGTATCATAATATTCATTGACCTTTATTTGAAGGAATTTAAACCTGATAAAGTGATAGGGTTACCAGTTATAATACTAATTCAATAACATTCTTTTATTAAAGGTTATCACATTCTAACTTGCTATAGTGTATAGGTGTGTCATTTTGACGTAGATAAAAATCTAAAATTTGCTATTTAGACTTTTAAGTTTAGCAAATATTTCTAGATTCTTTGCATATGCTACATTCAAATACATAATTCATTTTTTGAATTTTAATTTTGAAATTTGCTATTTGAAATTTATAAATGCTTTCGCTAATTCAATGTGCAGAAACAATTTCAATTTCTTATGTGTGAAGTTTTAAGTCAGAGTAACATTACCCTTTGGAATTGATTTATTATCATTGAGTTTCGTAGCATGTGACACCAAAAAAATTGTTGTTAGTGCCTTCAGGCACGGGTCATCCCTAGTATATATATATATATATATATAACCATAAAGGTATTATTTAGTTGTTAATTTTATGGCTATTTTTTTGTAAAACATGGTATCTGTAAAGATTGTTATGGGTTTGCTAATTGTTCATTTTATGGCTATTTTTGTAAAATATGGTATATTTAAAGATTGTTATGGGTTTGCTACTATTGCCTACTGTTGTAGCAAAGGTAAAAAATAATGGAGTAAAAAATCTGTTGTTTCAGCCATGAGAAATGGCAGATGATGAAAGCAAAAAAAAAAAAATGAGAAAGGAAAAGACAAGAACCACTATTCTTTATTCCTTGGTCTCAAATACTTACTGAACTCTTTGTTACAGATGTATAAATCTCTACTATATAAATCTCTATATCTATATCTATATATATATTACTATTTGTAAAAATCTATATATGTATATATATCAATATTACTATATATAAATCTCTACATCAATATATTTAAATTAGTGATTTTTATCATTTGGGTCTTGCTTGTTTTGATTAAAAGAATTAATTCCATCATGGCTTTCCCAAGTGGGACATCTTCAGGTCATCTCTCACTCTCTGTTTCAGAGCTCAAGCTCTGAGGAAGATGACTCTGATGGAACAAAGGGTATTTTCATATTTTTGCCCTCAAATGAAGGGGTAATATGGTCATTTAAGATATGCAAGTAACTGTAGACATCCCATTTTTGACTGACCTTAAGACTCAGACGTCACCAATTGAGCGCTTGGTGATGTTGCATAATGTGCTTGTTCAGAAGGTTCGGATTTGCGGCGGTGAGCCCTGCCTCCGGACTCCCGAACCCTTTTCTGTGCCTTGTCTCGGTTTGCGAACCAGACTCGATTTTCTCTGTTTCTTTTCCTGAGGGGAGAAACCTTAGGAAAGTAAATGTAATTTACTCAAAAAAAAAAAATTATTCAAATGAAAGGCTGGCTGCCAATTCAACACAATGACAGCGGGGCCCGCCATGTCTATAACTTAGGTTAGATGCTCTCGCCAATTCTGAGAAGATGGTAAAAAGTAGTTTTTTGACTTTTAACTAAATTTTTGACTTTTCTTTTTTTTAGATAAATGATTTGAAAAGTTAGTAAAAAGTTACTTTTGGCTTTTTGATTAATATTTGTTTATGATGTCAAATCACAATAAAAAGACCAAACTACCCCCATTCAATTTAAAATATTTACAACTTCACCCATGTAGCACATTTTAATCCATAAGGGGTAGAATTGTAATTTCACTAGTAGCTAAAAACCAACTTTCCAAATGAAAAAAAATACAAAAAAGCTATAGCGATCCCGGTTGTCCCTTTACTGTTCTGTTGTATTCCGGACTCGGTTCCGTGGAGTTGGTAGTTGTATCTATCTTGTTGTCATCCTTTAATTCCATTTGTGTGAGTTTTAGGATGTTTTGGACAAGGTTGTTACTGGTTGGTTAGGCCTTGGTTTCAATTCCTTGTTGCCTAGTTTTTAGGCGTTCCGCTCGAGCGGGTCTTCTTGCGCTCGAGCGGGGATTGCACACCCCCAGTATTTCGTGTCCCTGCAAAACTTTTGTAGGTGTGATTTTTACACTCGAGTTGGTTTCTTTACGCTCAAGCGGTTGCGCTCGAGCGGGTTTGTTGGCGCTCGAGCGGGTAGTACCTTTTTGGTGTAAGTTCTGGGAGGGAGAAATCTACGCTCGAGCAGACTGGTTTTCGCGCTCGAGCGGATGTGCTTTATTCTTGTGTCTTGGAGCTCGAGCGGGCCTTCTTGCGCTTGAGCGTGTCCAGATTTTTGTTCTTGGCGCTCGAGCGTTGTGTTCTCCGCTCGAGCGGGAATGTCGTATATCAGTTGGTTGTGGGGCAGTTTTAAATCACTTTTTCTCATTCTTTCTCTCTCTTACTTTTCCGAAAAAGCTATTTGAGAGCTTCTCTCTCTAGAACCTTGTCTTCTATCTAGGTATTGATCTAGTAACAGTTGTCTCTTCACCTTTGGCCTTTATAAAAAAGTTGTTGATCGTCGAGGGCTATCTTTTGATCCGAGAAACTTGTGGTTTGGAGCAACTTCGTTTTCGCCGTCTTCTTCGTTGAGTGTCATCTTTTGAGGTAGGGATTCCTACTCACTACTATAGGTTTTGACCTAGATATTTGGGTATTTGTATAAATGGTTGATTTTGGGAAGTTAGGGTTTGAAAATATTGAAAGGGAGTTTTGTTATTTTGATTCAAAAACATGTATTTTGGGTTTCAAAATAATGATATTATTGTTGGTTATTGATATATAGGCCATTGGGTCGATATTGGAAAATGGGGTAAAAAATCCTAATTTGTTGTATAAATTAATTGGTATAACTAATTTGGGAAAATTGTAGACTTATGGAATTGGGTTGGAAATAATGAAATTGGCTCATTATGTTGTGAAATTGTGGAATTGGATTTATAAATCGCTCACTTTTGGAAACATTGATATTTTATCTGTTGGAGCTTTTATTATCTGTTTAGAAATAATTGCTTGGGCTACCGGTGGAGGGTAGTTTTGATTGTTGTAGACAATGCATGATGATTAGGCAAACTAAAACTAATCAGTTGGATATGTCATAGAGTATGACGGTTGATAGAATACATTAACGTTATGTATTGATTGATTGTGTATATTACCTTTGTGTATATATGTTGTGTGTGTGGGAGGAGACAGGGGATGTACTTTACGGTTTAGGGGAAGATAGGGGATGGACTCCACTGATACAGCTCATATGCTTGTCAGATAATGTGTTGATATAGCTCATATGCTTATCTTTGGAAGTGTTGATACAGCTCATATGCTTGTCATTGGAAGTGTGGATATAGCTAATATGCATATCTGTTGAAATGTGGATACAGCTTGTATGCTTATATGTTGGGATGTTGATACAACTAGTATGTTTATCTATTGTAAAAGAAAAAAATGGGAAATGTTTAATATGAGTCATTGTCTCATATAAGTGGTTGGCCAGGTTCTAAGCCGTTGATGTAAATTGTGAAATTGATAAGAAATGGAAATTTAAATGAAAAGGAAATGAGTTATGAATTGGTTTATGGAAACTGAACATTTATCAATTGCTAGTGTCTTAGTCATTGCTCATACTGTGTTTAGCATATCTCTACTGGGCTGTGGCTCACCCTTTATGGGACATCATTTTCAGGTACAGGTAGCATGCCACCTCCAAGGACATAGCTTGGGAG